TTTAGCAAAACAGGGTCACACCTCCTAATAATAATGTATGCATGCAAATATAAGCGTGTGAGGGGGGCGATCTTGAAGTGTTTAGAAAACCTGCTTGTGCATGTGGTCGCTCTCTTTTACCAACATCAAGACTACAGAGACCAGCAGCTCCAGATTGAACCAAGAAATTTTGATTCATCCAGCTTAGAATGAGCATTTCCATTTCAATAGTCCAGCAGTGATCAGAAGAATGGTGCAAATGAAGTAGAAACATTAAGTTGAGTTCTGTTTTTAAAGGGATAGGAAAACTTCGCCTGGGAGATAAAAGAAAAAAAGTATAGATGTGAATGGAGTGCAAGAGAAAAAGACAAAAAGTGGAAAAATAAAGTAGATATGATCTAATATCAAGCTTATATTCAAAACAATATCATGAATTATAAATATAATAAATAAAATGGACCAGAAATTCCTGCAATTAAAAACAATGGTGCTGAGAACTGTTAGCTGACAGCAGTTTGCATCAGTATCAGTGTTTTTATAGCAACAAATGGTTCAGTTTAACAGCCAGATATTAGGACAGTAAAAAATGAAATAGTCTGATGAGTTAAATGTTTGTTTAATGCATTCATCCACTGTCTTGCGTGGTCTCCTGCGATCATTGGGCAAGACGCAGGGTAAATTATTCAGAGAATCCTGGTCTATCATAGGGCTCCACAGAAGCACATGCAGATGCATAATTGCACCCAAGATCATTTCGGAGACTAATTAAAAGTTGTGTCTTTTGGAGAGGAACCAAAATGCACTTAGGGAGATGCAAACTTCATGCAGGTAGAACTGCAGTTGGGATTTCAATTCAGGAAGTTCCGATCAGAATAAACAAAATGAATCAGGATTTTTAGGTCAACTAAACTGAACTCCACCTGCAAAAGAGATATAGGAGACAGGAACTGCTTTGATAAGGTCATTAGAAAGACCATGTTGTGTCTTAGGATGCACCCTGCAGACATTGCAGGTAGTCTGAGACAAAAGGACTGCAGCACAAATAGCATCCGTGGTAGACCATGTCTTCCAAGCCATGCATGAAGCTGTTGTAGAACTGGAGAGCGCACACAGGGAGCTCTCATGAAACACTGCTGAACCCTAGGTTCATTAAGGGGTGCAATTCCTTCCAGCAGTGGTTAGACATCCAAGTGGCTAATCCTATTGTGATTGAAGTGTTATGGGACATGTGCTATGCTGGTACATTTGGCTCTGGACCAGAGGCTTTGAATTCTTGGTCCCCTGATTCACATTAAATCCCAATATGTCACTCTGAGTACAGTGAATCAAACATTGTTCTTGATCTGACTGGGAATGAAGCAGTTTGAGGTTTAGAAATGCTTTAGGATGCTGTTAATCTTGGTATTTAATGCAGTGATTTTGGACAATAATACTCTACAGTAAAATTTGCATAGATGTAGGGTTAGCCCTGTAGTTTTCATTACAAGAGTCACGAAGGACACTAAATAGGGAAAAAAAGCAAATAATGTTATGCTAGATCGACCCAGGAACAATACTATCAAACATATCCTGAAACACACACATTCAGACGTGTCCTTTCCAATATGAGGGCATGAAATTTAAATAATTTCACAGATGATTTGGTTACCGCAGCCTGGCGATAGGAATAACAACTTTACAGAGATACAAGGGCACAAAAAAGAAAGAGCAAAGCGAATCACCCAAGGTTAGCTGCATTTATGCCAAAGAGCTATTTGTGGGGATAAAAAAAATATTTTTAAGCCTTATGAAGAGAAGGGGAATGTTTTTCATTTCACCTTTTTTCACCTACTTCCAAATCCTATTTCTCTTTTCTCGGGTTATTCAGTTTGGCCTTCTGGAAATAAAGAACTCTTGACATGAACTTTACCAAATGCACTCGCAAAACTGTGTGAATGCAGCGTAGAAAATATATCATTTTTCTGGACTCCTCTGACTGAGAATAATTACTTTACCGCCAGGAATACAAACACACATGCTCACCTAGAGACATCTGGCACTCATCTCAGCCTCCGACGGTCTATTCACAGAGGACGAAGAGAGTTAGGAATGTGTCCTTCACTCAAGACATTTAAGTCATTCTCACACGTATGGCTGCACTAGAATCTTTGCAACAGCACAAAAATCTAAATCAAAAATATGACTGCACAAATCCATAGCCACTGCATATATAGGTTCTAAAAGCATAAATAGAAGAGGATAAAACTCCATAGATGCTTTACTGCAGGATTTATTTGGATGCTGTCCAAAAAATAGGCATCTTTTATAGTTTTCCAATGATGCGTGACTGTTTTATGTGTGCATAGTCCTTCCTATATCATGCATTAGCATAATGTGTGCTCACATGTGTTCATTACATCTGATCAGGCTATTGAAAACGTGAAGAAGACGGAGGGAAATGGATGCAGGCTTTTTTTGTAGTGTCAGCCTTTGATCAGCATCCCTGTTTGTGTGTATGCGCGCTGGAACCAACCCCTGGTGTCTTGGAGGCAGATGAAACGCTGCGCTTCTATCCGGAGTCACAGAACACCCACTGTCCTCCTCGCCGTCTCCTTTCATTTTTTTTTTTTCCCCCAGCTTCTACCTCGCCCATCTAACCCATCTTTCCTCGACAGTTTCAAATATGATAGGAGAATGCAGGGTTTTCATTTTGGATCGCTTTGCTTTAACCCTCCTCTGTTTTCCAAGCCCTTTATCAGATTGTGGTGTATAGAAGGGGAGACTATTGCACACTGATTTGTTGTCAGATGGACGCAGCGTGAAGGTGGAGGAGAGACGACATGACGGTGTTCCCTGGCTGCTGGTTCTGTCTGATGCTGCTCCAGCAACAGAGCACAACATTTGTTCTTGTTAAACTATTAATGTCCAAAGAACAACACATTTTTACACCATAAGGCTGCACAAAAAGGTTAAAAAAAAAGGTTTCTTTCTCACCACCTGATATTGCCTTGACTTTTAGTAACACTGACAGTATATTATGTTATTCTGCATTAGCATACAGACATTTCTCTTTTTTAGATTAATTAGCCCAATGAATGACTTACTTAGCATAGCTGTTATGTTAAATTTATTTGCTGTTTACAGTCAAGCATTTAGTTTCCTGCTTCCCTTTAATTAATTTATTCAAATGTGCAGCTTATTATGAATTTAGGAGGAACAGCAAAGGGCTATACATCAGTATGTGGTTAATTGAATAATGTAACATTGGCATTAGGTTTTAAAAATGAAAGATGATCAATGCAAAAAAAAAAAAGTAAAAACTTGAGTGCTTTAGGCTTTAATTGATAGAGGAAGATACTGGTTATTGATGCAGATTTTAACAAACCAAAGTAAGCTAATCAAATATACATGAATTTAAATTTAAAGGTTCATCTGACCCATATCTCTGAGCCGTTTTCAGTTAGCTGTGATGAATATAAAAATAATGCTTTAACTCTAAAGACATAAAAAAATAAAACCTTTCTTCAATATGTCAGAATATTCCTGCAATCCTGACTTTAATTTTTATGGAAACACAGTGCACTTTTAGAACCATTTTATGTTTGCTTCCTGCTTTATTTATTACAGTTCCAGTTGAACTTGTGATTATTGTTAATATATTTATTTTTTGTTTTTTAATCATTATTATTAGCATTTTTCTGGCATTTTATTTGTGATTTTTGGATCAGAGTTGTGATTTTATTTCTGGCCACACAGTGGCGCCCTTTTACATAACTAGATGTCACAAAGCTGCGACTCCTTTTCCTTTTTTTTTGTAGTAGTTGACAAGCCAGTATTACTCCACTGACATGTATATTGCAATTACATAATGTATTATTAATACTATTGAAATGATAATTGTCACATCTTTGTGCCATTTTAAAAGGATTATTCAGCCCAGCCTGACAGTCTGTGTGAATTTAATCTTATCTTGCAATTATTTCATTTAAGTTCCGCCACATAGTAATTTTATAGATAATTCCTCATTGTAGATTCTAACAAATTTATCGTTTTTTGGAAGCACATCCTTATTTTAATATTTTATTTTGATACACAGAAGCAGATAAAATAAAATTAACATCCTTTATTTTTTCCAGCATCCTTATCTCAGAAAACTGTTTTACATTTTCAAATCTTTCTTTTTACGGCTGATGGTGTTAAAAAAAAAACCTCATATAACAATTTTTAATTTATGCTCTTCAATAATTTTGTTTTTCTCTCCGAGTGGGAACTCTCTTTGTATATGTTCTGTATTTGATTTTTACACTGTATAAGTGTTTAACATTCAGTGCTTAATGAGAGGCCTATCCACTATGCATGTCTTTAATTGGCTCTAATTAGAGGTCCCATTCAGAGACTGTCGGTTAAGTGCTGCCTAAGTGGAAACTAGTTATGTCTTTGGTTGAACAATTGAAGACACTTGATAGTATTCATCAGAGGCAAATATTAGCTGGCAGAGTGTCGGGCACTTTTACAGGGATCTGATGTGGTTTGATTAAGTAAAAACTATCCTTCAGTGTCAAAAGGAAAGCTTTGTGTTTAATAAGTGAACATAAATTTACAAGACACACATATATGTACTACATAAGGAAGATGTTTTTGTGTTTATCTGTTTGCACAAGATTAGGAATATATGAAATATGCGATGTTTTTAAAAATATATAAAGGTGATGAACAGTTTACATCACTGAAGGTCAGCATATTTGGCTCCGTCCATCTGTGTCAGTTTTGTGTATCTGCAGCAGTAAATTAACCATCCAACACACTGAAATCAAATTCAAAAATACTTTACTGAAAAAAATATATATGTATAATGATAAGGTATAACTATTCAAATTAAGATAAAGTACCATGTCCAGAAAGTTTATATACAGTTACACATTTAAGAATCGTAAAAGACAAAAATGATGTTTAGTGATATAAAAAAGAAACCATGATATAACAGTAACATTTTATCTTTTTTTTTCTCTCTTTTCACATCTTTTAACTTTCTCTATAACCAGGTTTCCTCAGCACGGGGGATCAGTCAGCTAAAGGAAACTATGGGCTGCTGGACCAGATTCAGGCTCTGCGTTGGCTCAACGAGAACATCGGCCACTTTGGCGGAGACCCTGAGAGGATCACAATCTTTGGATCTGGAGCAGGGGCGTCCTGTGTTAATCTCCTAATCCTGTCGCACCACTCTGAGGGTAAATTGAAGCTCTGTCATGTTACACTGATTACATTTTCTTAAAATAGCTGCATTTACTTGAACAGAAAAGCAGAATATACCAAGCTCCTGTCCACAATGAGACAAAATCAATGTGCATCCACACATTTTCAGTACCTCTGAAAATGCTGCAGTACCTATGTTGTACTCATTGTTCGCGCTGTGACACTGCCCCTGAAACAATTAAAAAACGGTCTATAAAAAGACCATGTATGGGCAGATAACTTACTCAAGTGAAACACAGCAACATGGCAGCAAGGAGGTGGATGCTGTTTACAGAGAGAGATGGACCTGTGAATTTATCTTTTTTATTATCTCTTCACTCCACTCCACTTTTTTATTATCTCTCCACCCAATAAGTGTCAAAAAGTAGTTATTTTGGGAACTAAACACCACATTTACATTCTTTGTTTGTAATATTTATTAACCTAACTTAGGAAACAGAAAAAAAATTGTGAAATGTTGAAATCTTTTGCAATCCATCGTGATGGATGGATGGATGGATGGATGGATGGATGGATGGATGGATGGATGGATGGATGGATGG